CTGGGGTCGGCCAGGCAGGCAAGGCTCGCTGCAGGCCGCACCGAGATGGCGGCGGCTGCGGTGGCACATTGCCGCGGGCTGGGCCGGGATGACCCTGGCGGCGGCACCTCGCCACCCCTGGAAAAAACTGCCCGTGTGCTGGTTTGATTTTCTTCTTAAATGTCATCACAGAGGCGTTACCGACATCTCTAATGGGGCCAGCAGCATGTCCATCTTCAGAGCCATCAGAGTGGCTCTGTCGGACATGGAGGAAACTTCCAGCAGCTTCTCACAGAAGTCACTTCTGTGACCCATCCCCTGCTACCAAAAACCTGGCCATGCCAAACCAATAGTGTATAATGTCCACCCACTTATGATATCTGCAGGATCTATGATTGCAGACACACCTCTTTTGTTAGACCAGGTATCTGTAGCAGCCCATTTGATGAAAAAGTCTGGCTTGTTGTGGGAAAGCTTGTTAGTTTGTGTAATTGAGGTGATGGTATATTTCCCTTCCTAACAGAATTTCTAAGAACAAGTCCAAGAGTATGTGAGAAGGAATTCATATGCCCGTGTGTGTACTTATTTTTTCACTTTGCAGCTGGGGGTGTGTGTGTCTCATTCCCCTGCCTGTGGTAACAATATAAGGTAATCCACCAGATAGGGAAAGCTGCATTCAGTGACTGCAGATGCCTTTCACTGTCTGCTTTAATTATTGACCAAGAATGATACTGACTCTGAGGAAAGGGGCAAACCTCTTTCTGTCTGAACCCTGATAGACTGCAAAGGTTTGGAGCAAACTGGAAGCACCTGCTGCTGCCTTGGAGCTTCCAATGCTGGTATCATGGAATACCTCCCCACAGGTCCCGCTGAACTATTGTTCATTTCTGTTGGTTAGTCTTATTTTTTCATTCATATAGGATAAGCATTAGGTTTATTGACTGAATCTAAAATATCAATAGCAACCTTAAAATGTTTGATCACGTCCTTAAGGTTCCAGAAAGGACAACCTCGAAATTCTACAGCAGGGATCAGCCTGGCCCTCAGAGATGCCTTTCAAGGTAAGCTCTAAAGTGTTTTATGCTTATATTAAAACTAAACTTACACTGTATACTTTATATGTGTACACTGTGTTTTATGCTTAAACTTATTTTTTAATGTTGCTTTATTGTCAGTAGGAAAACTGAAGTATCTGATAGATGCCCTACCTCAGTGCCAGTGGCATTGGTTTCAAAGGAGAGTCAGGTGTGCAGATGCTTTGGTGAGGGGCGTCTGGCCTCAGCTCTTTGTACAGGCACTTCTAATTACAGCTTGTGCTGCTTGTTTTGCCTGATAGCAGCTTGAACAGGCAGTTTGTATTGTAACAATTTTGGCAGTCTGCCCTGAAGGGTGGTGTCATATCCCAGGAGAAAAGACCAAGGATATCTAGAGTCCAGCAGTAAAGGGCAGCCCCCACTGGATCAGGGAACAGAATGGGTTGGAGAGACTGGAAAGTGAGGTTGATTTAGCTGAAATAGCAAAATGATGTGCAGCATTTCTGATGACTCACAATCAGAAACATCATCTGAAATAACTTTCAAGTGAAATCAAGCCCTAAGTGCTCTCCACTTGGGAATTACAGGAGGCGAAGCAAAAAAAAAACCATGTAATTGTCACTGTTACAAATGAGTGACTTCTGGACTGGGTTTCTGGTTGAGCCACTGGCTCGGCAACTTATTTTACTGTCCAATGCATTCATTTCTCTATTGATAAGTGACTGCTGATGTAATTTATAGGAAGGGAGTGGAGCAGTTCTCTTGAGTTGCAAAGCCATGAGATTTTGGAATCAGGACTGACACAGGTCTGAAGAGTCCAAGGGAGATGTAATATAGAAGGATATTTTGTAATGGCTTGAGAATCTCTAAGTTCCCAGGATGACTGCCCAGAGGAAACTGTCCCCTCCATCATCTCTCACTCCTGGGTGGCCCTGCTTGGAGCAGCAGTGAAGATAAACTTTTCCTTATCCAGAATATGATCTCTTACTCTAACAGCAGGGAGCTCAATCTGCTGGCCCAGGAGCTCTGTTCCAGTCTCTCTTCCTGCACACGAGAGTCTCATCTGCTTTTTGTCTTTCTGTTTAGTAATACTCATCAGTCATCCCCTGGGGGACATGCTCTGAAGCTGAACAGTAGCAGCAGCACTCCTGGCACCAAGCAGTGGGAGATGGGATCTCATCAGAGCAGCTGGTCAACCTCAGGTGATTCCTAAGTCAAAGATCCATCAGTCAAAATGTACTAAACTCCTGTCGCATGAAATGATCTTCTGCAGGGTGTCAAGTTCTGCATTGCAAATGGAATATGTCCTTTTAATGACATCCTCTAGTGAAAGGCTTTTGAAAGCCCTCTGGATTTTATGGTTCCATGTTCCTAAAATATAAGCACTTCCTCATTTGAGTCAGAAAAGTGACTATGAATATATTTTCATATGGAAATTTTGAATTGCCTCAATTAAGAATTGAAAAAAAAATAATTTCAGTTTTGAAAAAAATAATTGCAGTTAGTGACACAGTTGAAACTCAGCAGAGCCAACATTCCAGTCACACTGATGTAATTCAGTACTGATGTTCACCCACTGGCAAATTCTGCTCTTTGCACTGCCCACTGATGATACAATTGAGCAGTTGATGTACACTAATATTTCTGCACTCTAATAATGTACTGGCAAAAAGAAGCATAAGTCTCTCTCTATGGAACATTATGAAATATTTCTCCAGTATTCTTTTATGTGCAGAAAGATAGTGGATTTAAAAAAAAAAAAATAAAGAAGGGCAAAAGAAATTAAAGTTGAGAGAAAACCATCTGATTTAGGCAAAGTACAGCTCCTTTGCTGTCACTGGTAATGGTGTAGGAGTGCAGCAGCTTGCTCATTGTAGTGAAGTTTTTTGCAATACAGATTCTGGTTCCTGTGATTCTGGCAGATGGGGACATGGAGAAGTGGACAGCTTTTTTCATCTCTTGCTACTATTGTGGGTGTTTTCTGCAGGGCAGTTCTTGAGTAGCCCCTTGCAAAGCTCTGGTGTGTCACAAGGCCTTGCATCCAGGTCGGCCACTAAAGACTGGGAGCATGGGGAATCACACATCCCAAGTGGAAGCAGGGTGGATGCAAAAGAAAAGAAACCACCCCAGTGAGCTTATGAGGTCATTTATTTTTATATTGAGGTTTACATTGTTAATTTAAAAGCCCTTGATAAATGAGGAACAAATTGCTTATTTATTGCACTTACGCAATCAAGCCAGTTTTGCTTTTACTAGCTACCCAAATTAAGAAGCTTTTCTTTAAGGGAAATCCAAAGCACACTTTAAATTGCTTGGGTTTTGTTTCTTTTTGCTCTTATGTCATTTTGTGTTTGAATAACAATGTTGAAAAACATGCAACAGCCCAGCTCAATTTCGCAAAGTCCACGTGATGTGTAGCTCCTGTGCTATTTTGGCATGGGGAAACAAAAATCTCACCAGCAATGGAAAGAATAGAAAACCTCCCTTGTGGTTTAAACTGTCTCCTTGAGTTCTTAAGTGTCATTAAATTACAGCTAGTTCTGGCTTATGGCATTTCAGATAGAGTTTGTTGCTTTCCCAAACCCACAGGGATAATGAATTGGAGGAAAAGGCTATAAATACTTTAAAGCTAATAGTTCTGCTGACTTGTTTAGGTGCTTATTGACCAGTAAGAAATTCTGAGTGTTGAAAGCTTTGCAAAATGGATGGAGATATGAAACCATTGTGACAAAACTAAATTACCAAATGCGAATCCTAATTTGTGTGAGCTTGAATTCTCCCCCCTTGACTTGCAAAGGGTCTTGTTGGTAAGAGTGGGGTAGTCATGGGAGAAACTGGTGAAAATGGCAAATGTTGAGCTGGCCAGTGTGTCCAAGGGCAGGGTGATGGTACAGTGGCTTTCCTTCCTTTCCCTTGTGTCAGGTTTTGGGTGCAGAGCATCCCTTCAGGGCCTCTTTTGCTTTTTCCAGTGCTTGCAGGCAGTGGGGGGCCCACGTTTCACAGGTGGATTTGCAGTTTAGCGCAGCTGTTTGCCCTCAGCCCAGTTGGGTCTAGATAATCGGACTCTTTGGGCTGTATTTGTGTAACAGTTTTATGAAGGCCAAATCTTGGCAGCGCCTCTATTTCCTCCCAGAGGTGTGTAGGGAGGCTGGTGCTCCTGCACTTTCTTGCTGACCCACTTGTCTGCAGTCACAGGAAATAGCTGTGTGGCCTTTTGCTGCTGGAAGATGACCAGCAGTTGCTGGTGTGACAAGCTGTCTCAAGAAGAGGATCAGAGGAGGGCATTAGGATGCCCTCACCTTTTCCCTTGCTCCCTTTCCATGGAACTGTGGCTGATGGGCAGTGGGAGTATGTTGCCAAGGGTTTGGTTGGTTTGTCTTACTCTTGCATCATTAAAGTGCACCAGTTTTAATTTCTGTACATAATATTGCAGCATCCAGAACTACTGGGGAACAAGCGATGAGATTTTCCTTTGCAACAAAGAGAAAAGAGAAGTTTGTCAGCAGAGACTGGTATCTGCTTTGGGTTGTAGCTATGTGCGCTTGTCTTGCTCTCTCACCTGCTGCATGTACACTTAGAAACTTTTTGCGTTTTTTTACTCCCAGGGAATCCAGGACTTGCCAAGGCAGAGAATGTTTTGTCCCAGAACCACATGCAGTTGCATCAGAAGCCTGAAAAAGTTTCTCATCCAGGCCAGATTGCAGTAGGTTCTTTTAAATCCACTGATATTTTTGATTTGTCCATCATTCTTTCCAAGGGGTCTGTCTGTGCAAACAGTTCTGTTTTGGTGTGTGAGTTTGCTGTCACTCATGACTTGACCTGAGGGGTGTGTGAGGCTGGCTAAAGCTCACTGCTCTCAGTCCAGGTCTTGTGTCCAGCTCAGGTCCTCAGCAGTGTCCAGTTTTGGCTCAAGTCACTTTCCTGTGTGAGATACCCACCTGTGATGGACCAACAGAAGCATCAGCTTCCTAGTAAAGCTTTTTTTTGGTGTGGCAGTGACTATAACTGTATATGCCGTGACAGTAAAATTTGGCACATGCTGCTGAACAATGGGTTCTTGAACTGAGTTTTCTTTGCTCAGAGTCCAGGCTCCTTTGCCAAGGTGAAGGACAGTGCCAACTCCTTGTTAAAAGCAGCAGACTATTCCTCCTCCAGTGATGAAGTCAGCAGCAGCAGCAGCAGCAGCGATGAAGAGGACACAAACCACACAAGGTTGGCTTGATTATTAATATTATTAATAATAATAATAATATTCTTGTTGCACACATATCTAGAAAAAGCTGGCATTTGTAAATACTCCCCCTCTGAAGTTACTATCACTCATTTGTGTCAGCTATAATTAAGCAATTTAATTGCATTTTAATGAACTCCTGGGGGTAAATGTTTGCTCCATCAGATGTGCACAGCGTAATAATACACTTTGATGACTTGCTGCCCTGGGACAATGTGGAAATGTCTTGTTTTAACTGGATATACTGGGCAGTGCTTTTATAGGGATTGCTTCACATTGATCTACATTTACATGGAATTTTTGAAAGAAAAAAGGAGAGGGAGACAAAACTGTAAAAACTATATGCCTTTGTAACAAGTACAGATTACAGTGGAGAAAACAAGGCAAACATGACCCTTGAATTCATGTAGTCTGGTCACTCTGAGAGAAATAATTGCCACTGAAAAGTTGATTCCTTTACCAGGGCAGTTAACAAAAAGGAGGGATAGTTTTGTAAAATGTGTTGTATTTTTAATACTGACATTCTGCACAACTGTTGTGGTTTCCAGCTGATGCTGTGGCTCGTCTCACAGCTGATCCCACCTGAACTGTGTCTCTCTAGCTTTCCAGTTTATTTTGCTGGTTTTGTGATTGACATCTTGTGGTTTACCTGTCATGTAAAATATGTATTCTGCTGAGAAATAGTGGAGCAAGAATAGCTTACTACTCCAAGAGCAGGGAGACAGGGGGTCACTTGGACACCCCTGCTGTTAGGAACAGCAAACAGAAACATTTTTTAATATTGGTGAATGAAACTTCTGATTTTCTTGCAAAGAGACTTCAGTTTAATTCCAGTTCTAGGATTTACTTTGAAATGTATCTGAGGGCCACAGAGCTCTCTGGGATGGGGCTCTTGCTCTTCTGACAGAATTATGCATGCAGTTTTGTCAGGTGTCAGGCAGAGATGCCCAGATGTGGAGCATTGTTGGCAGGTTATTGTGTTGGGCTGGTCGTTTCCCCTGTGCTGCTCTGAAGAGGTAGAATTTTTGCGCCTGCATATGCTCCTGATTTGCATTTCTGAAGTTCATTTTCAAAGCTGAGATGAGGAGAAAGAATGTTAAAAATCTTGTAGCTTATTCAGTGCCCCTGAAAGAGCTTTTACTGTAATGCCTTTGTTTTTCTACTGATCCTCTTCCAAACCACCTTATTCTGATCTGTAAAAAGTTTTATTCACTCTGGGTCATAGAATTCATCCTAGACCTCAGAAAGACGCTACATAAAAATATGGATTTGCCCTGTAGCAATGACTTTGCTGTGTAAGTGTCAGATTGCTGTGATCCTTGCATGCTGTAATGATTTGAAGGAGCAGTATCACTGCCTTTGGAGCTCTGCATTTGTTATTTGCATCTCCTCTGTGTCTGAGATCCGCCCATCCTCTGGAGCGTGCAATTAGCAGGATGGTCCCTGTCACATTTACCTTCCTGTGCACACAGCCACTGCAAGAGCCCCTGTAAAATCAAAGGTATAATCTTGCTATTAACAAAGCCCCTTCATGTTGGCTGAACATCATTTATATTAAAAGATACTTCAGGAAGTATATCCCGATTGCTGCCAAGTAAATAGCAAAAGGGATAGTGATATGACTGAAAGGAGCAGCCAGTGAAACTGCATGTCCTAGATGAAGTGAAGAGTTTGGGGTATTTTGCTCTCTAAAGCATGTGACTGTAGGATCTGAAGCCCCTTGCACTCTGGAGTGTTTCTGTGGGGGCTCTGGCTGAAGCACCTTGGGCCAAGTTTTAGTGGGCTACTGAAACCAGCCTGTGTTTTCCTGTTCTTACCTGGGCTGTGGAACAGCACCTGATGTCCACACTCCAGCTTTCCCAGTAGGGAACAAATGCAAGAGAAGGAGCTTCCTCTGTTCTTAGATGAATCCTGTTAACCACCCTGAGAAGGCTCATTTCTGAGGATCCTGGACTAAGGGCTGCTGTGTTTCACCAGTAAAGCAACTTCTGGTCTTGTTTTTCTTTACAGTGAGATGAGCCAGAATTCTTCTTCACACTCTCCAGTTCTTTGTTTTAAGGAAAGTGTCAGTGTATATGATCCACTGTCTTACCTCCTTGTTTAGCACATCTATTCCATTGATGTTAATTTCTCCTAGTTTATGGAGAGTGCTTCCTTCTCCAGTGCCTGCAGTATGCCCCTAAAACACTGAGTATCCTGGGACTCATTTGTATAGTTCAGTTTCCTCTTTGCTCTTTAGTTGCTGTTTCCTACCAGCATTTGGACGAGGTGTATGCAGGTGTGTGCTAGGAATTACTTTCTCCCTCTCCTAAGCTGGAGGTTGATAATATTTAAGATCAGCTGCTGTTTGCTTCCCTGATAAGAACAGGTCCTGGCACTCACCATTAATCCTAATCCAAATCTTGTCATTCCTTTCAAGTTTAGTATGCAGATATTTACCCACTCACATAGAATGGGCAGACAATACAAAACCAAAAAATAAACAAAAAGTCCCACAAAAACTTCTACTTGTACACACCCATCTTAAATCAGTAGGTCTGTCACCAAAACTTCTTTGTTATTGCATGGGGCATAATTTAAAAGAAAAAAAAAAAAGTACAGTCTGCTACCTTTTGTGTAGGGCCCTTCACACTGGCTGAATCCAGTCAGTTTTATAATTACTGGAAAGGAGGCAAAAACGTAATAGGCTTAAGTGGATTGGAGTAAAAAAGATGAGTATAAATAAATAAATGGGATAAATAAATTATTTGAGGTGGAAGTGTGCATAAATGGGGCCAAGACATGTTTGATGCAGTTCCACTTGCGTGAAAAAGTTTAAAATGCAAAGATACCTCAGGCAGTGCAGGAAGCAGTGATGTACTGGGAATTCACAACAGACACTTGACTTGTTCTCACTCCTGCTTTTGGGATCAGCTTTTGATCACTGTTGAGGATGGAATGCTGGGCTAGGGGGGCTCTTGGCCCCAGCCAGTCCAGCAGCTCTCGCTTTTCTGTGTGTGTTTCTGTGCTTTTCTGTTCTGTTTTCTGTGTTTCTCTATGTACTGAGCAATGTTTTCTGTGTTTCCTTTTAAGGTGAGGATGTCCATGTCTCAGGGACTGATTCACAGAATGAAATTCCAGTGTAGCCTGTCCCAGTAGGCAGTGGCAGGTCCCTGATGGCAGCACATGGCAGAGCAGCTGCTGCTCTCCCTGAGAGCAGGGTGGCTCATAATTACACCTCACAGGGGAATGTGTGACGGGAGACAGAAGTTTTGAAGTAGGCACTTCTCAAATGACAGCTTGAGGGACTTGCCTGAGCTATGCAGTGTCTGAAAGATGATGGGTGAATGCAGGGAGATGAAGGGATGTTCTCTGTCAAGGTGGGAAGAGCTTCCTGCTGTGTGTGAGTGATCCTCAGGCACAAGTCCATTCAGGCAGATCCACAGACTAATCAGCTTGCTTTTGTACAAGAACCTTTGAGTGTAACTATTGAATGTTAATTATGTTCACTTTTGAACATGGTTATGTGTAGTTTTTTCCTTTTTCTTTCTGCTTTTATTTTTTTTCCCTGAAGTAGTTCTGTTCATTAATTGGAGTTTGTTACCAGGCAACTGCTAAGCGGCAGAATTGCAGATTTCTCAAGGACAAGGGTACCAGATGGAATTGAACTGAAACCCCAAAGCACCGTGGCAGAACAGAAGGTAATTTGGCCATTTGTAAGGGGGTGGGTACAGTGAGGGGGAGTCAGGTCATTAATGTGCATGATAAATGCAATATCCATTACTTCTTGGGAGCATTCTCACTCTGAAGTCCTGCTCTGTCATTGCAAATTACAGTTATAAGCCTTGAAAACAAATGTGCAGTTTTAGGTTTTGTGCTTCCTGTAGAAATGCTTACATTTAGGTACAAAATTGTAGTTCTTTATTTGTCCTGCTTATTGACCCATAGTAGTTTCTGATGTCAAGGTATTTTGTGAAGGCACTGGGAAAAAGGCACTGTTGATTATTGTTGGTGTGCATTGTTGCTATTTTTAAGAATCTCGATTCTTTTTATTCCAGTTTCAAGTGAACTACCTCCTACTGCTTAAAATATTACCAGAACAGGGGAAAACCACTTCATGTCTCCCTACTGGCTTAGCAAAAATTCTTGTCTTCTCATATGTCATGTTGTGGTTCCTTACAGCTGTAGTTTCTAGTAGAAGCTTCCAGTCATGTGGATTTTCCCCTGAGATAAATATTAGCGCAGAAAAGATGAAGAGAGACAAAGCAGAACAATGTTCTTTGCGGTTGAAAACAAGATAAAATTACAGTAGTAAGACTTGTACTTGGTGTCAGGGCCCTTTTCAGATATTACTGAGTGTATCCTTGCTTCACAGATAAGGAAAATAAATCACTGTGAAACTGGTATTTTCTCCAAAGCTGTGGCAGGGTAGAAAGTAAAGGAGTTTTCTTTACCTCTGGTGTCTCTAAACTTCAGACCAGAGTGGTGACCCTCCTGCCTGGGGAGGGAGTTCCACTTGGCCTCTGTCCCACCATCCTCAAGGAGAAAAGACTCTGCTTAGGAGAAAGGACTATAAATGGGGCATAAACCAGTATTTCTCTTCTGGCAAAACCAGCCCAGTGTTTCCCCTTTCCCCTGATATGCTGGCATTGGAAGTAGGCTGCTTGAGGGAAGGGAGAATGTTTGGGTCTTTGAGGGTGAGGGAGGATGATAAAGAGTCGAGGTTATGTGTTTTGGTGAGTTTGGAGGAAAGAGTGAGGGAGGGAAAACAGGCAGAAGGCTGACATTTCTTCTCATAAATTTCTCTGCTGCCTTCTAGTCTTCTCCCCCCTTCTCATGGAGCTCCCCTTCCCTTCCTCTGAGCCCTTTTTCACCCACCAGCCACAGCTACCTTGAGTCTCTAAATCATCTCCAGCATGGCTTTCCTTGTCCCATCAGCGTGAAGTGCTTTGAAGTGGTTAGGTTGTATCAAACTGCCTGAGTGATTCAAATGGGGATTTGGTTTGATCTAGTTCAGTTGACTGTGACTGAAAACTGAACTAAAAAGCCCCATACTGGCTTGGTTCCCCAGTCTCTAGTACTGACTTGCATATTTTGGGTTCAGTTTTTACATCTAAATTAAAACATAAAATATATTCCCAGAAACCAACCTCTGACTCCATGGATAGTGCTGGCAGGGAAAGAGTTCATGTGGTACCTTACAAGGTTCCTAAGTATTTCCATGGGATGCTGTAAGGAGGTCTGCAGAACCAAATGTGACTATACTGGAAATGCTGATGCTGGGTCCTACTAAATGCCCTGTTTCTGGAGTAATGTTTCCTAATTCAGTAAATGGAAAATAGCAATGAAATGAACGGTGAAGGGCTTCAAACTAAACGCAGGTCCAGAACCAAGAAGTGCCACCTTCTGTCTGCAGTATGCAAAGGTCAGGTCTGAAACTCGTTATCACATCATTTGACTTGGTATCTCTGAGGCTGAAGTTCCTTCTTTTTCTGTGGTTGAGGTAATGTAGATGAAGAATATTTGTGGAGTACTTCAGGAGAAAATCCCAGATTTGTCATCTCGGATGTTTGCCATACACTTTGGTATTTAATTTTTGGTTTTAATCTTGCCGTAGGGTTTTTTTTTGAAATGATGCATCAGGGAGAGCACTCTGAAAAACATGTGCACATTATTTATCATCCTAATTAACTGGAGTTGCAGAGTGCACTGGAAATAAACTAAATGTGTTTAACTGTATGTTCTCATGCAGGATCAGATTTTAGTGAAACAAATTCCAAACACCCAAGAAGGCCTTTGGAGCATAAACAATCAGAACTATCTCCTGCCAGATCTCCTCCAGCAAAGCCAAATTACAGATTCCTCTGTGAACCCGCCACAAGTGCCACTGACTTGCCAGGAACCTCAAAACAAACCTCTGACAAAGGTAAGAGATAAATTACAGATTGACTGGATTGAAATCTAGCCTTTTTAAGTTCTTCTATCATGTCTCTTTTTCGTTGAGTTTTTTCACTACAACCTTTCTTTCCTTTAAAAGTTCTGTCTGGGAGAAAGATAAGAAATCTTCAGCTCCCTAACAGATTTTGTTGTTCCACTTGTTTTCCCCCATCCCCTTCTCTACTCTCTTTCTTTCCTTGCTTTTTTTTCCTCCCCTTTTGCACAAGCTAGAGGACTCACACCCTCTGCTCCTTGCCATGGCAGCATTCTGGTGTGCCTCTGCTCATTGTCCCTGGCTTTCTCCCACTCAAGCATCATGTGAGGGAGCACAGGGGCCAGAGCAGCCCCAGAGGGCTCTGACACTGCTGTGAGCATGGGCCCATGGGGAGAGGGGTCACTAGAGGCACATAACAGCTCTGGCAGGGCGCCACAGGGTCTGTGCCCCAAGCACTGCCCGCCTGAGGCAGCTCTTGTTTCTCTTTGCAGAGCCCATGTGCTGAAAGCCCACCTGCCAAGAGCAGTACATCCTCCACAACATCCTTCACATCATTCATAGATCCAAGACTTCTGCCAATCACCCCTCCCACCAGTCCAGTAGGACCTTCCTGTAGTTCTCGTGAGTATGCTTTGCCTTTGCATTAAAATGTTCCTCCTGGGTTGTTTTTTTGGGTTTTTTTTCTTTTATTTATTTTTTTGGGGGGGAGGTATAAAGAGGGCTTATTGCTTGGAAATGAAAACTCTTGAGTAAAATATCCTGAAACTGGAACTTCACATTACTGTGAATTTTCATTGTCCTGCTTTTGCCCTTCTTTCAGATGTGTGTTTTTGGGGTTTTTTTGGCTATACAAAGCTCTGAGGGTGTTTTCTCACCTCTCTGGGGTGAGAATTTCTTTCATTCTACCATGAACAAGGTGGTCCAAATATGACCTGTAGCCAAGAACTGACATTTTACACAATATCGTGTGTCTTTCGTTCCAGCATCTAGTGCCAAACCTGAGCCTGTCAGGAGGGAAAATGCAAGGAAGGGCTCCGTTGTCAATGTCAATCCAACCAATATCCGCCCACAAAGTGACAGCCCAGAAATCCGTAAATACAAGAAGAAATTCAACTCTGAGGTCCTGTGTGCTGCTCTGTGGGGTAAGCTGGGAGTCCTTGGGCAGGTGTGTGGAGGGAAGGCACAGCAGGAGAGGCTGGCAGTGTCTGCTCGGCAGATTTCACAGTTGTATTGCTGCTCTGCTGGCAGAGGGTACTGGAGTGGATCCCTGAGCTGATACCTGTGTCACTTAGATGGCTCTGCCTTCTCAGGGATGAGGTGGCAAACACATGAATTACAGCTGCAAAGGACTGTGCACTAGAATGAGAAAATGTTTTGATCAAGCACCAGCTTGAAACCATGCTTGTTGGGAGAGCCAAAAGTTGCAAATGTTTCAGCAGCTTTTGTGTCTCATGAGACTCATCTGAGCTGCACATGGGTACAGCTGATCACAGAGCCCTGACCCAGTGGAAGTAATCCAGACATGAAGCCTTTTGCTGTCGTGTGTGTTAGGTATTCCAAGGATCCAAAGCAGGTTAGGTCTTTCCAGAAACTTGTTTAGTTCCTGCTGTCACTGCTTTTTCTGAACATCACCAGTGTTTAAACTTACATGCTTTTTACAGAGCTGGTTTCACATGGTGTAAAACCATCATCCAGAAGTCAGACTGCTGTCAACAGCTGTAGACCTTGCCCCAGTTGCACATCAGCTAAACTCTTGAGATGTTTTAACCAGCTTTCTGCTTCAGAAGAACAGATGTATTCTATGGGATTTGTCCAGCCTTTTGCTCCTCACTTTTTGAGCCTGGAATGGCAAGTGAATGAAGTAGATGGGACATTATCCAAAGCAAATGTAGATTTGCAGTTTATAGCTTCACAGATTTTGTGTAATGTGGGTTTGTAGGAATCAAGAACAGAGCTGTGTGGCAAGGTGTGTAATTAAATGTGCATTGAGGCTGAAGAGCACCAGGTAGTTGTCAGAGCACAGCCGGTGCAGGAGGGTGCTTGTTACAGCAGGATACCTTGGGTTGTGTCTTTAGAATCTGCTGATTAGAAACATAATGACATAGATGTCATTCCACCCCAACACAATTTCTGACATTCTCTGATGTCAGCAGCCCAATGGAGCCTTCTTTTTCCTTAGCAGTAGTTGAATTTCAGATGGATTCACTCCTTAGTTTGGCATTTGAAGACATTTTCCAAAGCAGAGACTGTTTTCAAACTAACCCTCCTTGTAACACCGTGCTTCTTCCCACAGGTTTGGTGTCCCCATAATTTGAATGTTGTATTTGGAAAAAGAGAGTTTGGGGGAGATTTTTTTGGTTGTTTTTCTTTTTTTTTTCCTAATTAATAGGAACCCTTGGAACACTTAGTTGGGTCTCATGTATCCCTACTGTAATGGTGCTGGACTGGGACTTTTACACTGGTCACAGGTACTTTTGAAGGTCACCTGAGAAGTTCAGGTTCAGAGAATATTTTCCTTTCTGTTTAAATCAACATTGATTTCAGCATGGCTACTCATTTTTCAAGTTCCATAGGTATACATGTGTTCTGCTGAGTAAAAATTCTAATGGTGAGATTTTATTATTTTTTTTTTTCTGGGAAGTCATCCACAGAGCAACAGAGGAATTATCAGGTACCATTAAGTGAGATTAAATAAAAATTGATTCTCAAAACAATGAACACTCGGTGACCTCTGAATCATTAGGTGACTTATGCAGTATTTTTTTCATGTATCGACAGGAGTAAATTTATTGGTGGGAACAGAGAATGGATTGTGGCTGCTGGACAGAAGTGGGCAAGGAAGAGTTTATACGCTGATTACAAGGAGACGGTTCCAGCAAATGGATGTTCTGGAAGGACTTAATGTGCTAATTACTATATCAGGTTGGTTCAGTGGCTAAAAGTATCTGACCCATGTTGGGGTTGGAGGCAATTAAAAAGAATTAGGTTATAAACTAGGTTGAGGAATTTCCTGTTTCAGAAAATCACAGGACAGTTATTCTTGTTAATAGGAAAGCTCTTCTGAATTTTTAACATTTACACTCCCATTCCAGAGTGGCTTTGGGACAATTCATTGCCTGGTTAATGTGTAAAATGGTTTCTGGGAAGTACAGAGTGTTTCATATTCCTAAAATGTACTCATTCTCTGCAAGCTATAGTTTGTCACTTTTCTTGTTTCTATGTTGGTCTATCTAACTTCAGTTCTATTAACATACCATGATATAACCTCATCCTGTGTTCAGCAAGTGGTATGAGCAGTAACATGAGAGTGATGTCTGTTATGAAAGCATCAATAACATTAAGTGGAGGTCTTCAACCTCTGCTGGGAAATAATTTGTACTCTGGCCTTATTTGCCATGGCTGAGAGTGGCCTCAGAGGGTGCACAATACATACCCAGGTCAGAGGTGTGGGTCCAACAAGGAATAGCAGCTCATCTCCAGTCCGGACTCATTGTGGTGGGCAATGGCAACAGCTGTTTGTCCCATACTGCCAGGTCCAGTTGTTGTTGCTGGGACATGGCACAGCTCTCCAGAGTAGTCTGTGGTCCCAGAGTGCTGTTGACCATAGGTTCTTGTGAACTAATACAACAAAAAGAGTGATTGAGATGAAGAATGACAAAATAATACTCTCCTGAAAAGGCATCCAAAAGAAGGATAGCTACTTTTAATCAAGATTGACAGTTAATTAGAACTAAATGAATAGCTTATTCAAAGTGGCCATTGTAGGACATGCCTATGTTCCAGGATAAGCAGTTAGTGTGATAGTTTCTGATAATACCTGTGTCTGTAGAAACCTGTTCTTTGGCCCAAGGGAACAGTTTTAGTCAGGTGTGAAAATCTTGCATGAAGTTTGAGTCACAAGGTAAATGCACATGTGCTCAGTGCCATAGGATTACTTCTGTGCCAGTTCCCCCTGTGTGTCCCCATCACCCCAGGCGCTCCTTTTGTGCCCTTGATATGTTCTCTCACCCTGGCAAGGCACAAGGACCCACTGTACTCAAGGTCACAAAACTCTGTCTTTTTGTAAGTGGGGAGGGTTTGTAGTTCAGGGAGTTATAGTGTTCCATCTCTTTGTGCAAATCCCAGGGAAGAAGAATAAATTGAGGGTGTATTACTTGTCATGGTTGAGAAATAAAATTTTGCGCAACGATCCAGAGGTGGAGAAGCGACAAGGCTGGGTGTCTGTGGGTGATTTTCAGGCAGCATCTCTTCTTGCAGCAGTTACCAGATGATGTTATGGCTGTTCCCTGTAGTGGCTGGAAGGAGGGGGTGCCAGCCATGGTCTGTGCTCAGCCACTGGTTCAGTTTTTCTGTAGTTACTTAAGGTTTTAATTGAACTGATGTTTTCGACCTCCTCAGCTTCCCTCTTGGCCCTAGGTAACGGCAAAGAAATTGGACCTTGTTCAAGTCCTAGTGAATTATATTTGTAGGATGTCCTTAGGTAGATCAGATCAGCCCTTTGTCTCTCATGAAAGACCCAAATATACCTTTGTTTAAACACCCTGGAAATAGCACCATCTTGCTTTTCTTTGGCTCTCAGGCAGCTCATTCTTGAAGGTGAATGTGAGGATCATGGTAATTTTTGTCATTTAACTCTGGGGGATGAATGTATGACACGAGTTTTGCTTTGGTGAAGGATGGTGTGTGAAAATGGCACTTCGAAGTCAAAGAACGCCATACAGAGGAGTGCAGGAAATGGGAGGTGGCTGCTTCTCATTAATACCTTGCTTGACAATTTTGCCTTTTGTCTTTAGAAGTGGCAGGGGTTAAACTCAAGAAAGAATGTGAAACAGATGTGTGTTGTTACTTTAACTGTGATTACAGCTAAGCACCCACCTATTCCACTTCAGTTGCTCATCCTTGGGTTTGGTGCGTTCTTTAAAAAACAACAACAAAATACTTACCCTAAAATTAGGCAAACATTTGGTAGGATCTTCTGTGTTTACATATGACAAGCCACTCCTGCATTTCTGACAGCACAGCTGCTGCTGTTTTTCTCTTGCTGAATCTTTTTGTATCTTGACCTTTGGTTGTGCAGCTATTTCTCCAGGTAGAAAAGGAAAAGGATGTATTGTTCTGCATTCTGGTGGAGTTTGCTGAGTTTTCTTATTCTCTGCCTATATGAGATAGCATCCTGTTTCCAAATGCTTGTCTCTGGCAGAGTGAAAACACAATGCACAAAGAAATCTTAATTTTCAATTCATGATTCTTTATTTATTTTCAATGGGCCCAGCATGACCTTATTTGTCATGGAGAAATTGCTCATCTCTTAAGTGCTTATTCATCTCAGAAAGATGGGAGTCCTTCACCCACACAGAGCACCTGGGGATTTAACCCACAGATGAGCACTGAAATGAAAATTCATCCTGCCAAGTCTGACAGAATTGTTCAGCCAACAACCACCAGTCCTCCAAGAGTAGCTTATTCATAACCAGTAGTGGTGGGGTGTGTTCATACTTAAAAAGTCAAGCAGGTTGGTTTAGATGCAGGGTCAAGGCCTTTTTCTATGAGTAGTGAGATTTTTTTTTTTTCATCACTGTATGAAGAGGAATATATAAACATTGGTAACAGTCATTTGACTTTACTGAAAACAAATGAATTGTAGGTTTCCAGTCAAGGTATTGTCACTGGTGATATTAAACATTGATGTCCTGAATGCATTAGTCTCCCTTTCTGGGTAATGTCTATTTCTACAAATAATCCATTGAAATTATTTCATGTGATGGTCTTTGATTTAAATGTTTGTCTGATACCTAAGGAATTGTTCTTCTTGTATTACAGTAAAATATGAGAGAATCAAATTCCTTGTAATCGCTTTGAAAAACTCAGTGGAGGTTTATGCTTGGGCTCCAAAGCCTTATCACAAATTCATGGCTTTTAAGGTAAGTGAAACATCACTTTGGTTCAGATGTGTCACTGTCTCTCAATGTCTCTCATGTACTCTCTACTTTTGTTTTTGTTGTTTTGTATAACATTTATTCTAGCTAAAGATAAACTGAGTATTCTTTTAAAGAAAATGTAGTGCATTTGATGTACTTGGAAGATGGCAAGCATGAAACTGTCAGTTATGAGTGTTAGATGTGAATAACTTGCTTCTCTCTACTCCAGCCAAACACAGCAGGTGCTGTGCCAAAATGTGCATTTGAATTGACAAAGTTGATGTTGATTCCCCTCAAAAGGGGAGGAAATTAAACACAGTGGTAGTCAGCCTACTTTTTGCCTAGTCCATTTCTTGAATCTTGATTCCTTTTTCAAACCACAAAGAAATTATCCAACTGTCCTTGCAACTCAGTGGATGATGGATACTTAGCTCCTTAAATGTAACCTACTATTTAACAAAAATAGCTGTCTAACTTTTGAGTTTTAAGAAGTCTTAGGATCCTAAATATAGTTCTACAAACCAACAGTTTTATTGTGTTACATACTGCATTTTTCTTTTTTCCAGTCCTTTACCTCACTTCATCACAAACCACTGTCAGTTGACCTGACTGTTGAAAATGGGCAAAGACTAAAGGTCATATATGGCTCAGTAGTGGGATTTCATGCCATTGATGTGGACTCTGGATCTGTGTATGACTTGTACCTTCCAACACACGTAAGAGAATCCAAAAAACTACACTAATGCCTTTGTTCTTGGGGCTTTGTATTAATGATGATCAGGTTAAGAGTTGTGCTATTTTTCAAAAGTAAGATTAGTAGAAGCTAATACAAAACCACTTTTCACATAGTTTTATAACACTGAAGTCCTGTTTAAATGCTTTTATCAAATCTAGAATATCCATTTTAGTGATTTAGTGTCAGAAAGCCTGTTGTATGGACAGTACTATTTTTAATTGATTTATCCTGGAAATTTAGGACTTCAACAGTCAAAGACACAATAATATCTACATGAATTTGGGTGATTTTTACAATCTGCCACTGTGCAGACAACAGAAACCAACTTAAGACTAAATAAATTTGCTGATCTTCTTGCCATTCAATTGTCCATGAAACCACTATAAATTCAGAAGTAGTTTTACATTTTCCTTGGGACTTTCTCATTAGATTGTCAGTAAGTGAGCATGAAGGTGTTGATTACAGGAGTATGTGTACACTCTGCGTTGTGTCTCTGTTTGAGGTGATGGTGATCACTAAATTCTTGCATAAGCACAGATAACAGCAAATTGCCCTGCAGAAGTGAATGGCTGGCATGGGGCTGTCTAATATGAAGTTTATGCTATGGTATTAATATATCTGGATTTTTGTTTGTTTGCTTATTTCTTAGCTATTCTAGATAGTTCTTTTCAAAGGTGTGAGTCCCAAAAGCCAGAGAATCTTGAGGGCTTAGATTCACCAAACTGGCAGGTTCCAGACTGGCTCCAGTCTGATGGGAGGCTCCAGGCAGAGAAAACTCTGTGCACACTTGAACCCTCCCTGAAGTCAACAGTGCTCCACAGGGGCTGGGGGTGCCATGGCCTCCTTGCATCCCCAGACCATGTGTCCCAAAGTCATGCTTGGGAGGTCTGAAGAAATCTCATCCCAGATCTGCATGTTGCAGCCTGTGCCATGAATCCATCTATTTTTTTAACTTTTCTTCCCTCTCAGCCCCTCGTTTCAACTCAAATGAAAACCCATTCCTCCTGTGCAAGCCACTTGATCGCTCTGCTGCCCCTGCAAGCCACAGCCTCTGCATTCTGACAGACCTGTGTTCCTGATGGACACAGTGTGTAAGACTGGCTGTTAGATTTATAGACTTCTCTTAACTGAAAAATTACTTTTCTAGCTGTTCTAACTGTTGAATCACCTGCTAAAGGCTTGTCCTGTTTATTTCTGTGTTGTTTTTTTTAAGGTACTTATTATTTGTCTTGTTAGAGGGTTTATTTAATCTGACAGTAGCTTTGTTAACTATGCAGCTGTGATGAATTCACATCAGTTTGTAAATTGAAGCATGGTACCCACGTGCATTTCTGGAAGTGGGTTGCTGAGCAAGGTGAACAGTGACTTGTCAAAAAGATCATTAGCATAATTGCCGAAGAGAAGAAAGTCAAAGAAAAAAGTGAACTTTCTTAGAGGCTTTACTTTTTCAACAGGCTGCAAATACAATTAAAGTACCTGATGAGAGCGATTTCCCAGGAGACTGCCCTGAATATGTGGGGCACCTGAGACTGACAAAATTTGTGTGAGCTCTTCAGCCACAAGTTAGCACGGACTAAAAATATATTTTCCCTTCAGAGTCTTAGACTGAAATAAATCAGCTTCCACAGCAGCTCAATCTTTTTTGCTATTCTATTGTTTTAAAAGAGCTAGAACTGGATAATTATCTCAAGGAGCTTTGTGGTGGCAATAGCCCAGACTGTAACAGGCTGACTTGAGATACTCTTGCTTTCTGGTAGCCTCTTTTCCTGGCTCCCCACCTCTTTCTTCATCTCTTACCTGCTCCGGTCGCTCATGCGAGTACCAAGGCAACGCATTAAAATTGCTCTGCGGCTCTGGATCCCCGTTCTAGTGTTACGGATAGTTGTTGCGGAGGCACGGAGTCAAGTGGGTGGCCTGAGTGTATTCAGTTTGGCAAGTACAGCTTCAGTGCTTCTTTTACTGTTCGTTGTGCCCTTATGGTGTGCATAAATGTCTGTGCTTAAGAAAAACAAGACTGTGTGGCTGGCATGTAAGAATGATGTAAAGCTCCAGTCATATGCTTCCTATGAGTATTGACTGGGGTGGTCTAATTTACTATTTACCATCCTGTTCTGAGTAGCGCTTTAAACAAGGAAATGCTTTGTTACTGTTTTTCTAAGGCTGTCCTCTTTTTCTTTCAAAAATGTTTTCATAAAACCCCACCTTCATGGTACTTCACCTTTGGTTTTGTTTTTTGGTTTTTTTTTGCTTGGGATATGTTGGCTTCTGGGAGAGGTTTGTGTGAGTGAAATGCACTGTTCCTGTGGCATGCAGAGGGGTGCCCAACAGCAGTCAAGTGGGCAGCTATTTGTAGTGAAGGATGTGGGAAGGGAAGGACAGAGTGAAAAGGCCCAGGGAACTTTTTACAGCAAGTTAAATGTTATTAAATTTGCAGGTTTTAAACTTAGGAGTGGGGATAGGGAAATATCATGGAAAGTGAAAGCACTTAGCTCCTGGAATGTGGAAGTTTCTGTCCTTCCTCCATCTTCTGACAAAGTTGTGAATTCAAATTTATTTCACCTTTCTCCTATTTATATAATGCAAGTATTTTGTGAGTGACTAAGTAAATATTATTGTGTCTCAATGGCTCCATGGCTTCTTGAAACCAATTAACACTGGTAAATTTAAAGTGAACTGTTGAACGTTGATTTATTTGCAAACCTACTGTCATATTCAAAGGGGGAAAAGGAGAGAAAGTCTGTTTCAGAGGCTTACTGGCAAATATACAGCCTCTGAGAACAGGCATTTCTTTCACTTTCCATGAGCCATGAGCTAGTTCTTTTTATTGCTCTGCCAGGCTAGTTAGATAGATGTCATCACTGAGATTGCTGTCCATGTTCTGATATAAACCTTAGTAAAATACGATTCTAGATCCAGGGGACAATTCGCCCACATGCCATTATCATCCTCCCGAACACCAGCGGCATGGAGCTCCTGCTCACCTATGAAGATGAAGGCATCTACATTGATATATATGGGCATTTCACAAAGGAGACTGTTCTGCAGTGGGGAGAAATGCCAGCATCTGTAGGTATGTATGAAAAATAGCTCTTTATTAAATATAAGATTCTGCTGCATGAAGCCTGACTTCTTTATGAGGTTTGTATCTATGTGGAAATGGTTGTATGGCACATAAAGCAGCTTCTGAGCAAACCAGATGTGTAAAAGAGTAAACAGATTTATGGGTGTTTGTGTTAACACAGCCAATGATTGCAATAGAAGCTTCCCATTTGGACCAGAGTCTGTATTCTTGTCACACTGTTTATTGCATCACACATTGACTATACAGACAGACTTCACTGAGGATGCAGCTTACCACCAGTTTTCACAGGGAGAATTATGTGAATTACAGAGGGGGAAAAGTGTTTTGGTTGTTCATAGCTCACAGCGTTTTATGTAGAAATTCACAGCTACTGAGGGGTCAGTTACTGAAGAGATCTGTAACTGCTGTCAAATGGCCCATTCATTTTATCACTTTAAATTCACAGGGCTGCCAGCCCAGGGTATTTGTGATGGATTCTTAATCTCCCAATGCTTGCAGTTGGCTGTGTAGGAGGAGATTCTGGTTGTACTGGAGCCAGGACAGCTGTTTGTTTCACCTTTCCCATAGGGCTTCAGACAGACAGTGTGGCGAAAATGAAGAACAACACAGGCAGATTTTTGGGTTTATTACTTGTTACTTTTAATTTCTGTCTCACTCTTGTTCTTTATTTTAAAACAAACATACCAACAAAACAAGCCCAAGACAATTAGACTGCACAGATGCCTGTTACTAGCTTGGTGGAAACTGGATACCACAGTGAAAAATCAAGGATGTTCACTTTTTCCTTTCACTTCTACCTGAGTAGTTTTAGGACAAGCCCATCTTTAGGATGTGGTTGAGTTCTGATTGAAATCACATTTCAACTAACAGCTAACCTAACCTATAAACACACAATTCAAACTTCACATAAGGGCCTCTCTTAACTGTTATTTTAATAATTTTACCACTAACTCCTATTAATTTTCTTAATCCTTTGATATCATTGGCTGTAGACAAAAACATTATGAGAGAAGTGTGAATGTTATTTGAATGGCCCAGCTTAGGGGTAACTTAACAGTTTTTTAAAAGATCCTGTTTTCCTGGGATTTCTATTCCCATTTTAAACCTCTTGAAGTCTGTATGAGCATATCTCAATTTTCACTCTCCATTGCAGAGATAGAAGGGTCTTGTGTTACCCTCAGGGCACTCTTGAGTCATCCTTTGCTTATTTCTTGATTTCTTTAAACAAGTATTTTGAAAGAAAAGTTTGTAGTTGGTGAGAGTATTTTGATACAAAAAATAAAATATAGTTTGTATTATAATCGATGGATTTAGGGCAGGGAATCTAAATATATCTTACTCATAGTCTTAAATTGGGACCTCTGTGACCAATCTGTTAATAATTTAGAGAGAGGAAGCTCAAATCCCATGGGAAATTAAAACTGTAGAAGTATTCTATGTTTAATCTGAAAGATGTACACATATGTAGGGCAAAATATAAATATAGCTGTAATATTTTCTGTAAAACAGGTTTTAAAAAGGCATTAAGAAACATCAAGTTAATAAGATTTAGGCGCACTCTTGCCCTTTTGTGTGAGTAATGAATTATTTACAGTATGTAGCCATAGAGGGTTGACACAAATCTGGATATTCCCAGAGAGGAACTAGTAAAAGTCTTTATTTCCTTTTCCCTGTACATTTTAGAAGCAAGAAGACTATTCTGTAGAGAAGCAGAAAGGTGGTTAAATTACTGCCTCAATGCTCTACAACATACCAGCTGGAAGCATAGGATATATTTATCTAAAGCTGCAGTGGAAAGTGGACTCAAAGTAACTATTCCCAAGGTGCTTGTAGTATAGGAGCTATTGTTCCAAAATAAGACAACTTTTTTCTGAGTATCTGCTCTCAGTTCATCTCACATGAAACACCTTTAAAATCTCCCACGTGGGAGTATTATTATGACTCAGTACTGACCTGTGAACTCAGTACTGCTATCCTTCAGATTAATCCCCATGTATAGACAAGTCCTTATTACTGGACAACTGTGCAGATGGTGTAATGGGGCCATTTTGTTTGCATGCTGTTTCACAGATGAAATTTGGAAAAGAATTTGATTCTGCTACAAAACTGAGATTTTATGCTACTTGTAATTAAACCTGTCATTGTCAGTGGATAAGTTCTTGGTATATTGGCCAGACAGCAGAGCATCAGGGCTGAACTTTGCGTATCTGATTTATTCTGTTCCTGAATACTGCCTGGAGGTCAGATCTCTTCAGAACACAGCAGAAGTGGTCCTGCAGATGACCTAGAGGTTGCAGCAGTGGTTACTGGGAGCTGCATGGAAGCTATCAAATTGAAATCTGCCAAAGGCAGATACAAACACAGTGGTACCTGGAGTGTAAATTTCATGTAGTGGAAAAGATCAGGAGACTTATTAGTTCTTTGTTGCCAGACCTATATGACCTACACTAAATAGTGTAGCCACAGACTGGTTTCATGCTGTTAATATATATATGCACCTGCCTTGCTTCCCAGAACCACAGGGTGCCTCTGTCTCCATTGCATTCAAAAGCAAAGTTTGAAAAGGTTAATGTGATTTCAATTGGTACAAAAAAAGAGCAAAAATTTGAGTCTTGTATCATTTTGATGTTCCTCACTTTATGTGTGGTCTGGGCTTTTCAGATACTGTAGACTGCATGGGTGGTGCCCTGGGTTCATCCTGCTACTGCTGCACTGTTCAGAAATGTTAATGACACTTTGTCACAGCCTACAGCAATGGTGCCCTGTTGTACAGCCTGAAGCATAAAGATTTTAAAATATATTCCATTTCATCTGTTTGAGTTTTAGAAAATACTCCTTGCTCCTCTTTTGCCACTAACCCTTGGTTGCTCAGTGTTGCTTTGCTTTTAAAATACATTGATTTCTTCCTTTTTCCTCATGACTGGGATACTGGGAAAGAATTATCTTGCTCTCAGCACTGGTGGCAGGGAAGCCTTCAGTGTGCAAAAAGAATAACTTAAAGTCTTCTGAACAGATTTAGGGGAAATTTATAGACTCTGAGGAAACTCAAATCACAACACTGTAACCAAACCATATGTGTTTCCAAGGAGGTATGATTTTCATACATTTGTTCTAACAACAGTTACAAAGCAAGGATTCCAAGTTAATATTAAATCAACTCTGCTAGAAGTATATACAGTCACATGGGCATATTGCCTTTATTTTCTGCTGTCTTTCTCAAGCAGGATTGCGGGCTGTTGCTTCCAGTATCCGTCTGTACTGAAAGTTCAATTTTTAGACAGAAACCTAAATCAACATGGAAGGTTTTAAGAAGCAGACCTTACTCACACTAATAATGTAAGGCAGACATGCACTGTCCAATGAAGCTAAAACCCAGTCCAGTGCACACATTCCCTCTACATCATTTTAGAGCACCAGAATTCTCAGACTAATGATACAACAGGTGATAGCTGCGCAAGAAGAACAATTTCTGAGCGCCGACTACCAGTAGAGCATAACTAATGTGATTTTACCTTGGAAGCCCATACAAGTACCAGTTGGAGGGCTTTCACTGAAACTATGCCTTATTTGTCATCTGTGGTGTTAACTCCTTCATCACTATTCCAATTTCCTATTGCCAGATTTCAAGGGAGTATTGTAGTAAGCTTCCACAGCACTAGTCTTTTGGTTTTGGAAATATGGCACATAACCAGTGATGGGAAAACACCAAATGAATCATGCCATGGTCTCAGATTCTGAAGTATTTAGGTTTCCAGCTAAAGCTGAACTCCATAGTAAATACAAACTCAGCTTCATAATGGGAACAGAGTACATTGGGTACAGAGAAGATGGTGAAGACTTTTCTCAAATATGAACAGTTAAAGGATGAGAGGCAAAGATGGGCACAAGTTGCACCACGTTATATTAGGAAGAAATGTTCAGTCTTGAAAGTAGTGATGCATTGCAGTAGGGTCTTGGAAAGGTTGTGAACTATCCATTAAACCATATCTGTACAAGGTCCTGAGTAACCTTGTCTATTTTGGCCCTGCTTTGGGGCCAGCAGTTAAACAAGATGCCCTTCAGAGGTTTCCTTCAACCTTTTGTTAGTCTGAGATATACAGTAATAGTTAAGGTTTATGTCTAGAGTTCAGAATATAAGTCTGAGAGGACAAACTGAAATTTAGTTACTATTTCTAAGGCTTTTTGTGTAAATTTAAAATACAAATAATTCAGAATATATTGTTATCAAAGAGAAATGCATCAGATCCATAATTAACATAAATGAGACAAGAATCAATCTTTCAGCTGTTAAATAATACCTTTTTTTTTTTTTCTCCTTTTTTTTCTTTTAGCTTACCTTCAGTCCAATCAGGTCATGGGCTGGGGAGAAAAAGCAATTGAACTGCGCTCTGTGGAAACAGGAAATCTGGAAGGAGTATTTATGCACAAGAAAGCACAGAAGCTAAAATTTCTATGTGAAAGAAATGACAAGGTACAGAGATGACTACAGTGTGGTGACTTAGCAAAAATGAGTAATAGCTGACTATGACAGACCAGTTCATTTTGGTAACTTTGTTTTTGGTTATTTCCTCGGTATAACTTTGGTATTGGTATTACCTTGGTATAACTTCCCTGTTCAAAGCCAATGTAGTCACTGATCCTACAGAGCACCCATTACGGATATTCATTATGGATGTTGCACACATTCCCACCACTGGCTGTTAGAACTTGCTATTCACCCAGCCTTCACTGCTGTCAGTAATAACAAATACAGACATTGTGAACTGCACAGCACCACAGGTGTAGTGGGGAGGGTTAGTTTTTGGGACTGAGCCCCAAAAATTCCCAGCTGCAGGACTGCCTCTCATGGGCTACTGAAAGTACAGGCAGTTCAGAGCAGTCATCATGGGGAAAAAAAAAATCCAACACTCTTAATTGCAGACACCAATAAGTATGGATAATCAGGTATGATTTCCTGCATATAGCAGTTTTGGTAAATGTTCTCTGAAATCTGTTTAGTCCCACTGTCATATTTAGAAATGGAAGCCCTAAAACCTTAGATTAATTATTTTAAAATGTTCTCCTATGTTTTTTCAAATAGGGGAAGAAATACATTAAATAATGCAGTTGTACCAGAAGTACAGTTTCAGTTTAAAAAGTTCCTCATGGGATTGAAATTCAATTGTGATATATGTATATCCTTGTATTTGGGACTGTGGCATTCTATCACCTTTACTATATGACTAAAAATATTTTCATAAATAGAAACTGACAGTAGCATTTTTTTTCTTTTTTTTTTTCTTTTCCCTTTCAAGGTGTTCTTTGCTTCTGTACAGTCAGGAGGCAGCAGTCAAATATACTTTATGACTCTTGGTCAAAATGTACTATTCAACTGGTAAAGCACATCAAAATGAAGAAAATGAAAAATTCCCTATAGGTAACAGTGTAAAATTCTCAGAGGTAATACACACAAATTTGCACTTCTTACCTACAAAAATGTCATTATTAACTTATCAAAATTCATATTCTTTCAGTCTGGAAAGAATTCCATTTTCCTGTTGAAGTATTGCAGACATGTTTAGTTTGTGTCTCAAAGCATGTTGCAAACAAAGATTGTATTAGGAGACTTCAGTGAAGAATGTAGCCAATATAAGAAGCTCCTGTACTCTGAAGAATGGACAGTTTCACAGATGATGTAATGTTGGTATCTTGAACCGAAGTCACTTTTTATGGACAGCAACAGCTGTAGGTAGATACAAAAATACAGTTGGAATCTATTTTGAATTGGGTTTGGACTCATTTTGCAGTTTAAGCAAGGTGTTAGTGTGTCACTGAGATGAACTTGAATGACTTATCCAAGTCTTACAGCAGTGAAAGAGCAACAGCCTGTGGTGGCTTGAGGGATCCACCCTCCTTGGACCTTGAGGAATCATCCCCTGTGCTGGGTGAACAGGTGTGTTTCAGTAGAGTTATAAAAATAGTTAATGCTGAACATGTGCCCCATCTGGGATTTTTATAAATGCAGGGAGGGGACAGACCTTGTGTTTCTCTCAGGATGCCTGAGCCTATAGACACAGTTACTGTAGGATGTATTGTAAAAACAGTTAAATAGTCAAAATCATAGATGCATAAAGCATTATGAAAAAGAACCTCTAAGTTTTATTCACACCTGGGACCCGCACTCATATGAATTGATTTAAAGGCACTACCCATGTATATAAATAAGGGCACAAGAGCAGGCACTTTCTTTTCTTCCTTCTTGCTCTTTCACATAAGTCTTTATGTACGTGTGTAAATATAATCTTTAAACAATGGATGTTAAGATTAACAAATGTATTCTTAATATAGTTATGAAAATATCCAAAGAGTTAATCTATTATAAATAGAAAATATAAATAATTCCAGGTGCTTTCTATGCTAATTACATCTAAATAAAGCTGTGTCTTCTAGCGTTATTGGTGCCAGTGTTTCTGCATAAACTCTGTTCTCAGGGGCTTATAAGTTGGCCATAAAACTATAGAGATATAATATATATATTATATAATCATATACTATGATTCAGTTGTAGGGTTTAATGTAATCCTTATGTAGCTGATTTTTGGATGTGCTTTGAAAATGTAAAGCATCAAATGTAATACAAAAGAGCTCATTCCAGACATGATACAGTAGGGATAACGCTGTGGGCAAAAGTGAAATCACTAGTTCCAGTGCTTGAAAACAGGTATTTTTACTTGAAATATTTGATACTGAAAGGTGCAGGGAAAGTGTGTTGGAATGTCTGGTCGTCTACCTCAAGGATGATGGTTCTATGTTAACTAAGAGGGCAGAAAGAGTGTTGTTGGATGTGGTAGCTGCACTGTCCAGTACGTCAGTTCAGGTGCTGACAGTGATGCTGTGACTGACAGGCGCTCAGAACTGCTGTCCCTGTGTATGTCAGCAGGGAATCAAACTAGGGGCTAATCACCTTTCCCTGTGCTCCCTGTGCTGGCATCTCACTGCTGCAGGCACATCAGAGGTGCCTGCACTGTTGCTGTTACGTTTCTGGCTATATGGAGGACTGTACTTTCCAAAGTTACTAACCTAGCACTTTTCACAGGCACTAGCTTATCTCAAAATGTATAGTGTTTTTTAATGAAGTATTTTCCTTTTAAATGTTTAACTAACAGAAAAATAAGCCTAAAGCCATACTAAAAAAATGCAGTTAAATACTCAAAGTGGTTCTTAGTGTATGTGAGTAATTATCTTGTGTGAAGACTTGAAACCTGAATGGAAAGTGCTTGGGCAGAACTGTGTGACAACAGGAGCTCTGTCTGGTTGTAGCAATTTTCCTGCCTGTTGCCAGGGCCTGGCTTGGCTCCCTGTGCTGCTGAACAGTTGGGCTCATTGCATTTGACTCACAGAACAAACAATGGGGTGGGGGGAATAAAAAACAAACAAACAACAAAAACAAACCCCAAAGTCTGTAACAGAACCAGAGATGAACATTACAATTACTAGCAAAAAGCAAGTTGCAGACAATCAACTTATCAGCAACTTACTTGCTTTTGACTTAAAAGTCTAAGAGACGGTAAAGGGAGAGCTTTCATTTTGCACACAGTAGGTGTTGCAAAACTTGCAAAGCTGCTCATGCTATAAGTAATCAGTGATCCAGGCTGCCTTGTAATATTTTTAATGTGTGCTTATCTCAGCAGCCTCTGCATTACAGAGGATGCATGTGAATTTTTTCCCTCCCCTGTTGTGGTGTCAACAGGTAGGAGGCTGATATTTTCCTGATGCTAGCAAAGAACAGTAGGAATTTATAATAACAACCCATATCAACAGATTAAAGAAGCAAATGTAATCAGATTTGTTTAAGTTTACTGTAGCAGAAAATCGTGACAATAAGTTGACACGTGACACAATAAGCTGTGAAGAAGTTTAACTCCATGCTAAAAGGGAAAAAACCCAAACAACCCCAAGTTCAAGAAAGGGAATATGCACTATTACATTTGGATTGTAATTATTCATTCTGTTTCCCTCTATTAGCTCTTTCTTCTTTCTAGTTACAATTCAAGGCAGTGAGCTGGATTTTCGTCTTCTATTCACTATAGAAAAACCATTCAAAATTTTCCATACGTAATTATGGAAAGCATGAGGCACCTAGAGGTGAATGCTTTTGAAGGATTTAGAAGTGGTATTGCAAATAGCAATAGCAATTGGATGCAACAAAGAGAAACTTGTGGGACTGTCTCTCTGTCAAGAGATAGTCAGAATGGCTGCAGATGAGAAAGAGCCCAGAGATGTTGAAAACAACTGAAAAAAGGGGAAGTGACTGAAGAGGAGGGAAAAGCTGAAGAAAATAAATAAGAATAACTAAAGGGGAGGGAGTGGATGTCTGGCACAGCATATTGCTGTAGGAGGAATACAAAAGATTAAAAGATGTTAAGGAAAAGAAAGCAGCTAAAGAAATTGAAAGGTACCTGAAATGATTGAGGAGAACTGAATGAGGGAGTCTTTTGAATAACTGTTCAGCTCAAAGCAAAAGTACAAAGGCCAGAAGAAAAAAATTCAGTAACCAAGGTTATCCAGACCTAGTTTTAACTATGCAAAATATATATCAGATTTGTAATTACATTTTGTGAGGTGTTTTCACTAGCTGTACCCTTTCACTAACTTTTAAAACCAAGGAGTGAACTGCTTAATGTGTTTTTCTAGTGATGTCACTTTGACATGAAAAAATGCTACAGGGGCAGAATGTTAAGGATCCATGTCATTAACCCTTTGGTACATGCAGTCTCCTGCAGGTGGTGCTCATAATGTTGCATTTGCCACACAAGGTTGTGCTAATGCTGCAGCAATGTAGAACTGTGTGTATGTGCCTGCTTTCATTTTAGGCATGGTGAACTCTCTTCTGCAGCCTGAACCTTGGCACATGACTTTAGAACCTGGGAACCATGCAAGTTATGTACTGTACACTATGTATTTTTCTCTAATGTTGAAATTGTACAATTGAAACAGTAATAAAAATACTCTGAAAGTCAAAACTAGTACCACACTTGTAATGATTCTGTTATATTGACATCAGCTTTGTAAAAACCATAGAAACCTTTGTTATTGTTTTCCAAATCCAGTCACAATCATTAGGGTAACATCCATATCTGCCCATCGGAACAAAAAAAATATATATCCTTGTATGGATAAAGATGTCCAAGTGACAATGTGAGAATTCAGACTGGACAGAGTGCTCCTAAGGGTGACTGCCAGTGCTGTGCTGTGTATGCTGCTACTGAACTTCACTGAATTTCTGTGTGTCTGCCCTTCTCTTTACACAAACACCCAGTGGGGTGAGGGCAGTGGAACTACAGCAAAATGACAGCTTGCAGTCACTGATGCTACAAGAACTAGAATTGTTTCTCCAAAGTCCATCATAAAAGCTGGCTTACAAGTTCAGTTACACATTTAAACAGCTGTATTTTAAGTTAAATGAAGTATAAGCAAACCTGCAGTCTGTAGGAAAGACTTCTATAGATTTTAAAACCTGTGCAGTAAGTCTAAGTTACACACACCAAAAGTGTAAGAAATTTTCCTGCTGATAACCCACCACTTTCTTAAACTGCCTTTCAAAGTGCAGAGAGCTGATTAAAGGGCAAGGGGATGTCAGCAGGGTAATCACTCAAAATGTTATTTTAGCATTATTTAACTGCTTATGTTATTTTCTAAGAAGATTTAACAAAAGCACCTAGGAAATCATGGTGAAATGCATCAGAAAAACTTTTCTATTTTTGCCCTCAAAACACCTTGTGGTGAACAACTTTTACAGTAAGCTTTATCATCTTGCAGACCAGCTAATTTTTATTTTTTTTTTAATCTAGAGCATTACCTTTTATTCTTTTGTGCCTTTCATTTCTCCAAAGTATTTTAAATGTAATATTTAACAGAATATAACAACATCCTTCTATTCAGCATAGCTCACTCTTCCCTGTCACTGCTATAAAGGCTAACTGTTGTTTTAAGATGTGGTGTATATAAAAACCAAGATATTTGACTTCTAATTGTCTCTGAGAATTTAAGACTGTTGATGGACCAGAGGTGAACACAAGTATCATTTCACACACTTGGTTACAGGCATGGAAAAATCATATTGTCTTCAGTGAGCTGCTTACACACCCTGATGAAGCAGGCTCAGCACAAAGCCCTCAGTTGTTGTGATGTGATACAGCCATCTGCTGATGGCTCCTCTCCAGTCAATCCTGATTCTCTGAGTGTTTCTCAACCTCCAGTTTCTAATACAATCATATTGGTCCCACTGTTCAGGTATGGAAATCATATCTAGATGTGATTAGATAGAACTTGCAGACATACCCAGTCTTTAAAACATGTTGTTGACACGCTGCCAGCAAGAGATTTGCCCTTGTTCCAGCAGTTTTGAAATTGTTATGTTAGCTGGACCTCTGCAGGTGAGAAAGAAGGCAGCAGGAGCAAGTTCCTAAGAGAAGGAGCTATCATGAACCTGCAGTGCATAGATTTATACCATATTAACTCTGCTATCAGTCCACATCAGTCCATTACCACTCCACAAAAGCTTCAGCTTCAATGAATAAAACCACAGTGAATCACACTAATAAGATCTGGCAACAAATGCACATGTAACAATAACCTGTGTGTAAATAAGTTTCTTCTGCAAATCACATCATGGGCATAGACAAAAGTGGAGATAAGATGGGAGCAGTCCACAGATTTCCTCATTATATCCACAGGTTATTTAATAACTAAAAAAAGTTATTAAAAAAAAGTTCACCATAGTTCTCCAGGTAAAGCTTGTATGTGATGTGAAATCACATCCTGTGCAAGATCATTGAAAAGGTTTAAAAGTTAATTTTTTTGAACTGTAAATGCCATTTTATCATTTCACACGACTGTTTACTGGGGAAGAAAGACACCATGTGGAAGTTCTACCCAATATTGGCCTCTACATAATACAAATGACTGATTTGTTTTAAATTTTCTCACTAAGGAAAACACTGTGACATAAAATACACAATCTCATATCATTCCTAGAGAATTCTAGGAAACTTGTGATTTATACCAGCAAAAAAACAAACCAGCACAAAAACTTGTGATTTATACCCCTTTATCTAGTTTTTTCGGTCTGTTTAAAATCGTTTAGGCAACATGTTTTCCAATTTCCTCATAGTAAATGCTCCAGTCACAAAGGCAGTGGACTCCAACTGTGCTCAGGGTGGAAGAGCAGCTCTGGCCCAGCACCTGAGCCAGCTCCGCCTAAGCTGCAGCCGCACTTCTGGATTTCCAGAGACTATCTGGACCAGTGACACTATAAAGACTATTTGCTGCTCTTCCTAGCCTTTTTTTTAGCCCTCGCTCCCGCTGTAGTGGCTCCTCAGAGAAGGCGGCAGGGACCGAGGCGCTGGTCGCTGCTCAGGGCCTCTGTCCCACGGACGGGGCGCTGGGGTCACCTGCGGCCCGAGCCCCGGGGCACCAACACAATGCCACGGCCACAATGTCACCGCCACGGGACGAGAGCGGCCGCCAGCCAGCACGGGAGCAGCCGCGGCCCCAGCCTAGCGGAAGAATTCCCGGGGCCGCCCACCGCCGCCTCTCCCACCGCTTCCCCGAGCTTCAGCCTCGTCCCTGCTCCCGACTGCAGCTGCTCCCCGGCCGCCGCTCTCCCGTCCCGCTGTCCCGGTATCCGTGTCCCCGTGTCGCTGTC